ATATCAAAGTATGAAAACTTGCAAGTAACAAGTGTAATATATCAGTTATGTCGTTTTTAGTATTCTCGTACTATTGTTTTATATTTTTATCATCATACAATCCATGACCAAAAACTCAACAACGTTCGGCATCGAAAAAAAAGTGTCCGCACTGAATATAAATCTTGGCTCCGCCCCTGTCGAGCGACTCCTCGATTCGATCTCTCGACTCGTACTGTAGTGACCCACGAGCCGCTCGAGCTCGTCTGAGCACGAGCCGAGCTAACCAGTTCGCTAGACGAACCGAGCTTGATCGGCTTGTTAGGGAGGCGAGCGCTCATGGGCTCGTGAAAAAACATTAAAAATATAAAAAAAAAACTAAGAAAAGTTATATAAAAAAAATTATCGAGCCATGAGTCGAGTCGAGCCGAGCAGAGCTCGCCCACGAGCAAAGAGTTGCGAGTGAGCTCGTGGCTCATTTTTCCAGCCGAGCCGACTTGGCTCATTGACATCTCTAGAGGGGACAAGATATGATTTTTTTTGTTTTTTGGTTAAATTGACAAATTTTGTGTGGGACAAGTATAATTTAATAGTACACATGAGAATGAAGATGGTCCAAATTCATCTGAAAACGACTCTTATTTTGCATGTGATTACCGAGGCATAGAAACAAAGAGGTTAGTTATACCATTTTAATACATTTAACTTTTGTGTGTCTCATCAATTTTATTACACTTACACTATAGTGGGCAACTTTATTTACATTGTTTGACGTGGCACACAATTTTATCATTGATGTTAACGATCATTACTCAAATCAATAACCTCAATTTTAACACTTCAAAGGGTGTCAAACTAGCTGTACACCATGAATGTACAACTAATTTAATTCGTGTCTTATATTTAAATTTATATGCAAGTGATATATGCCACTTTCTATTTCAAAAGTAACATATTGTTATTATTTTTTCTCAAAAGTAAAACGACATATATAATCTCTAGTATATATTCTATTCATAATAGCAAAAAACACTAAAGACAATCTAAAACTCGAGCTTTATAAATCTTCCGACTTTCTTTTCTTTTGTGTCACCTTCTTCATAATAATAATTGAAACAATTTTACTTTCTAATTTATTCGTGCTTTCATCAACTCTCGATATACTTTTATAGACATCAAACATCAAAATTTTCAATGGGTAGTAGTATGTGAACTGATGTAGTCATCGAATTATGAGTTTCATAAATCCGTAATTGCAACATGTCATTTTTTCAAAAGTAACAGATTGTAAAAGTTGTGTCTTTGTAATATTTACACTCACTTCTGTGATATGTATGCACAATGAACATCGATTTTAGAAATTGCTCGACTTTTTAATTAAAAGAGACACAACATATCGCTTTCAAGTGGATAACCTTAATTCATGTCCAACTTAAAGAAGTAGAGAGTGAGATCTAAATATTAGTTAAGATATTTCTACAAACTTACATATAAATATTCTATTATAAAAATTCAAGACAGAGAATGAGAAAAAAAATCTTGAAGAATTTCATTGCAATAATCTTGAAGAAACCGCTTTTGATTTCTAACTTTAGCCAACCTAAATTTTATGTTGACTTTTTGAAATGTCTCAATTTTTTGGGTTTCCGTATACCGTATACGAAGATCGTAAGTAGATTTTTATAAAAGTGAATGAAATATGTGATTAAAATTAATTATTAACTTTAAATATTATTAACTTTTTAAAAATAAATAAAAAGTGGGCTAAACATATTCAACAAGAGTTTAAAGTTAGGGGCTCAATATAAATTATTCCAACAAAAAAGGGAATCAAGGGTATGTTTGGGCCACATTATTTTGAAATAATGTATTCTGAAATAGTAGATTGATGGAAAATTTATGGTTGAAAAAGAAGGAAAAGATATTGATGAGATAAAAAATATTATTTTATTGAAAAATGTGTGATTGAAAATAAATAGAAGAATGAAAATAAAATTTTTAATGTAGGCCAAATATAAAATTATCCAAATTACTGGACTTTAATTTCGTAAGCCACGTGTCCAAACACCCATACCCCCCTGCCAAATTGAGCATGAGTACACAAGTCTAATAAATGTGCTCATTGCCGACAGCCAAGGCTGCCAAGTAACCTTTTTCTTTTCTTTTTCCCATTCCTTGATTTAACTCACTTGTGAGGAAAGAGACGATATTTGAATTTCGAACTGGTAAAGTCTACAAATTTTCAAAGAACAAATTGTGTGCGGTTTGATTCAATTCAATTCTAATGAAAGTAGGTAAAAGTGTTTGTGACTACCGAAAAGAAAATCGAACTGAAACGAATCGAATTGATACTTTTCAGAGTTTGGCGTCTAATATTTGGCCCTTGACAACCTATAAAAGTTACACACTCCATTGTATTAGCATATCTAAAATTAGAAGAAAAAAGGGACATTAATTCCTGATTCTTTCCGTCCGATGAATTTAATTCCGGTGAGAAAGACGAATCGGAGGTGGACAAAACTCGAAACCACGCGCTGCCGTCATTTTGCTTACCACAAAATGCCCCAAATTCTCGTTAGTCTCCACCAGATTGTCTCTGCACAAAAACTCATCACTGCACAGTTTCTCTACTTCTCTATCAATTTCATGAACAAACACATGGGTTTTGTCCACCGGCGGAGAAAATGAGGAACGATCTTCTCCGGCGGTAAATAAAGCCGTCATCCTCCCCGGCGCAGCCGCAAAGTAGCCGCGCGGCCCGTCTATCAGAATTATGTCCCATGGGACGTCGTACATGTGGTTTGGCAAATCGTTTATTGCCAATTTACAGTCTGAAAACAAGAGATTCTGCACCGGCCTGCATTCGTTTTTCACCTGCAATTTGTAATGCGCCATCAAAGGGTACAATTCGCTAACTTTGGTGGTGAATTGCACATCGTAAGCTTCGATTCTGGGGTGCTTTTCTTCAAGCTTGGAGACTAAATAAGAGCTTTCGTCCACGAAAACTGTACGGCCGTTGTAGTTGAGGGAGTTCCAGAGGAGGGTCTCGTGGGTGATACCGAAAACAAGGAAATTACAGGGGGCGGCACAGCGGCGGAGCACGGCGGCGATACTCTTCAGCTCAGCAGATGACATCCGACCGGAGGCTGTGTCATTTATAGACGCATAGTGGAGAAGCGCGTCAAAGACTGGCCTAGGTAACGTAGCTTCGGTGGCAGTCGCGCTACCATTGTGTCTTGAAGTTCTTGCAGCGTCCCTGGTGGTGATGAAAGTGAAACCAAAAGTGAAGGCGAAAAAGAGCATGAAAACCAGAAGCCATGTGCGGTGAGATAGAGCTACTACTAACGCACCACCGCTACCGCCGCCGTGTTTGTGGATTGGAGGGTGAAGGACTATGAATTTTGCACTAGTCTTCATATCTTGAAGAAATATAATTAGACGCGCACAATTATAGGAATCAATGGAGTTTCTTGGAGACAGACTGGTGAACTGAACTTTGTTTTCTTTATGTCACATGGAGCTGAAGTATAATGGGGAAAGGGGGCACTTGTATCTAGGTGTAATATTCTGAATGGCTTCCCCTTAGTACTTGTTTGGAATAGTTATTCATAAGTTTTATTTCATCGTAACTTTTATCGACTTTTAATCATCCATTTTATTGGATTCACAAACTTTTATCAACTTCATTTGTTAAAAATCTTTATCAAACGGGCCCTAGAAAAATGCTATTCAGCCCGTAGGCGCCCCACGAATCTATGATGCAATCAGACATGTCGGGGCGAGTAAGATTACTCTTACCTTCAAGAAGATGCATAAGGATCCATAATTATTTACTTTCAATGCAAGGGTCATATCCATTTTATTGCTACTAAATTTCTTATTCAAGATCAATTCATCGATCAAAAGAAGTCACATTCGAGCTCTACCAATGGAATATATCGATATATAAGGTTGACCAATCGTCGAGAAGAACTATTTTGTTTTTCTTTTTGTATGGTTGTGCAAGATAATGTAGGAATGATTTGATCATTTGAGATAGGCAGTGGGATTTTATCCCCGATTTTAGGGAGATGGCGGGACCAGGAAATAAAGGTGAAGGAGCTGGAAGTAGGAGACCACCGACTATTTAATCAAAACGATGTCGGAATCGGCCGTAGATTGAGGGGTGATGGAATTTTTTTCTAGGCACGAGACGAAACATGGAAATATTTTATGGATTAAGCTATTTGTACATTAAAAATGTGTATCTTCTTTGACATTGTGTGAGGTGACAAAATCAAGATCATCGATTATTTGAAGCGTCGTTAAAATCAATTACAAAAATACGTGAAATGTCACACAATGTCAACAAACCTGTCAAGAAATCTATAACTGCAGTAGAACTGATATTTTATAGACACTTGATGATGTGCAGTAACTGGTAGAATTTCAAATTTTAAACAAAGAAAATCCCGAACTATTTCGTGTATCAAAAAATTTGAATCTCAAATTTTAAATAGCACGATTAGATGATATCATTATATCTTCAATTTCTCTCAAGGTAAGAATTGCATCTAAAATCCACAAAAACAATATCATTCCAAGGTTTGAAATCCAACCATTTTTTCCCTTAAGAATAATGATTAGGGCACTCTAATTTAGATGGAAATGAGAGTATTAGTGGGAGACAAAGTTAAGTTAATGCCATGAGCAAACATCTTTTCCCTATAACTAATTTCACTTTATATGTTAGGATAATGTGTAATGCTATTAGAAAATGCTTATCTTTTGGGCAAGTCTACAGCATGATTAATGATAGTTTTAGGACATTTATATCTTATGATAATTATTATGTAAACTCTAAGACATTATTTAATTCAATGGGAAATAATTAGAGGCGTAACATATGCCATGGTATGCTCGCACCTTTGTGATGCTATTTTTGAAATTAGTTATAATCTTTTCTCTATAATTTTGCGAAGGATGCTGTTTACATTCACGATTGTTATATATATACACAACGACTTTTAAAATATAATTATATTATAATTTTAATCTTATGTAAATTTATTTTATTAAATTCTCTCAAAAATTTTCCAGATTTTTCCATCATTGTCTACTCAATAAATTTCACAAAAAAAGAATAAGAAAAAAAACTTGACTTCAAATTAATGAAATTATTATTGATAGAATGAAGAATGATGTTAATCATAAGAGAAAAATCTTTCATTTAGGGTTCGTTCGATTGGTTTAAGTTCCATGAAAAATGTCACATCCGAGGAATTCAATTTCTATTTTGATTGTTTGATACGAAAGTGGAAATGAAATTCGAATT